CTCTTTTGTTAGGTGGCCCCTGATCATGTTCTTCCTGCTCCAGAAGAAATCTACGTGTATAGTCCTTTGGGAACCGCTTGCAAAATTGATGGCTCTACTGATGGTTCTGGCAAAAATTCCAGTATAGTAACAATGTATGTGAAGTGTTTTGCTTGCATTTATTTATTTAAAGTATTCTATTTTGAAATACATTCAAAATATTTGAATTAGCCTCAAATATAATGCAAGTTTTCTTATGGTTGTTCTTTGTGTTTTTCCTCTGACTTAGATTCATGATCTGGAATACAATGATGGGTACATCAATATTAAGTATTCCCTGGGGAATAAAACAGGTAGCACAATTTTGTGTCTCTGTGTTAGGACAAATTTTGCCTGCTAAATCGTGCATAACAGTTTGCATTAATGCCATAATTTGTATAAGTATTTAGTTAAATGTTTACTTTTCAAACAGGCTGGATTTACTACTGGAATCTGTATTATTCCGCTGATGGGCATATTGACTCTTTATTGTTGCTACAGAGTTTTGAAGTCTAGGTCAATGATACGTAAGTATATTGTTTTAGTAAATATATATGTTTCATTAAACTATGTGTGGGCCTGCTGTAGAGATTGGTGCACTTAAGAACATGACTCAAAGATGTGCAGTTTTAATGATCCCAGACTACCTTTTTGTCTACATTTTCTAGAATACACAGGACTTTCCTAAGGTAATATATTAAAATGGAAGTAGCAATGAAATGAACAGAGTAGTCTCCCAATAAGAGAAATATTCCTGAACTTCTTAATGGGCAACTCCTAAATCTTTCTGATTTTATCAGATTATATAATTTGACTATCTCAAACTTGGCAGGATGTACAAGTCCAAATGTTAACGTTGGTCTCTTTTGTACATTTGTAGGTTTGAGAACCATCAAATATATAATATAATATAATATAATATAATATAATATAATATAATATAATATAATAATATAATATAATATAATATAATATAATATAATATAATATAATATAATATAATATAATATAATATAATATAATATAATAAATATAATAATATAATATAATATAATATAATATAATATAATATAATATAATATAATATAATATAATATATCATAACATAACATAACATAACAACATAACATAACATAACATAACATAACATAACATAACATAACATAACATAACATAACATAACATAACATAATAATAAAGTTGGAAGGGACCTTGGAGGTCATCGAGTCCAACCCCCTGCTCAGGCAGGAAACCCTGCCTACACCATTTCAGACAAATGGCTGTCTAGTCTCTTCTTAAAAACTTCCAGTGTTGGAGCATTCACCGCTTCTGGAGGCAGGTTGTTCCATTGGTTAATTGTTCTAACTGTCAGGAAGTTTCTCCTTAGTTCTAGGTTGCTTCTCTCCTGGATTAGTTGACTTCTTTCCCTATATATAAATTATATGATTTATTTAACATTTTTAGAGAAACTGAAGTTTTGTTGGTCTAGCCTTTTATTTTTATTGGTGTCATTGGGTGCTAATGACTAATTTTCTTTTCAATACTGGAAAGTGTATTTATAGTAAGTATACATTTTTCTTTTAATTGCTTTCCTATGGGACAGAGTATTTCTAATTAATAAATAGATACAAGGGGGCCCTTGGGATTACATTAGTTCAAAAAAAATTCAGTTTTTCTAAATATTAAATAAATCATATAATATATATATATATAGGGATACAAGTCAGCTATTTGATGGCTCTCAAATCTACAAATGTACTGTATCTCCATGTATATATACATATACGTGAAATATCAATTTCTTTCAGTTTGTGTTTTACTTTATACTGTACAAATAATTATAATAGCAGTGTCCCTTTTGTTTTAAGCCTGTTATCAGCCTGCTATGAAGACTTTAAAATAATTAGTACAGAATTAAATCAATATCTTCTTTTTCTTTTTTTTCAGCTTCAGTAGATACCTCAACTTGGGAATTCCCAGATGTTTGTAAATATTACTTTGGATCTTTCGGTCAGTGGTCTAGCCTTTTATTTTCATTGGTGTCACTTATTGGAGCCATGGTGGTTTACTGGGTGCTAATGACTAATTTCCTTTTCAACACTGGAAAGTGTATTTATAGTAAGTATACATTTTTCTTTTAATTGCTTTCATGTGGGACAGAGTATTTCTACTTAATAAATAGATACAAGGGGGCCCTTGGGATTGCATTAGTTAAAAAAAACCCCTCACCTTCTCTAAATGTTAAATAAATCATATAATTTAATAAATGCACACATGTGCATAAGGATGTTACAAAAGATAAAAATCTCTTCTAATATAAGAATATATATTTGCCAGTTATCTTTCTTTGGGCATAAAAATGAAATCATCAAGATAATAGATTTTTAAATTATAGATAGAGCTTCAGATACCAGGGCGAAAGATGATGAAGGGAAGAAAGCCATTATAGGAGAGATTCTGAAGCAACTCATTCTTTTATGGACACTGTTTTTTCTCCATTTTCTTCCCATTAGTTCCAATGTGACAGAAAATATATGTATGCAGACTTCAGAGTAAGAATTCTTTCTCATCGTCACATTCCAGTGCCAAGTTGAAAGAACATAGATCTGATAGATTTTAAGAAACTGCTGTCCTCCATTTGACATGCTTCTAAAAAAAGTGTGGGTGTTGAATCTAAAACTAGATGTACAATTTTTTTCTCCAAATTGTCCTAAGTACATACAGGTAGTCCTCGACTTACGACCACAATTGATCCCAGAATTTATGCTGCTAAGTGAAAAAATTGTTAAGTGAGTTTTGCCCCATTTTACAACTTTGCTTGCCACATCTGTTAAGAAAATCACTGCAGTTGTTAAATTAGCAACATGGTTGTTAAGTGAATCTGGTTCCCCCATTGACTTTGCTTGTCAGAAGGTCGCAAGAGATGGTCATATGATCCCAGGACACTACAACTGTCATAAATATGAACCAGTTGTCAAGCATCTGAATGTAAATCATGTGACCATGGGGATGTTTCAAGCATGAAAAGTGGTCATAAGTCACTTTTTTCATTGCTGTTGTAACATTGGTCACTAAATGAACTGTTGTAAGTTGAGGATTCCCTGTACTGAAGGCCCAATGTATGTATACATTTCTTCAGGAATTTTTTTTTTATAAACCAGGGTTGACACCAAGTAATTTCTTAATTGAATTAACAGAAGTAACAGTATTTTTGTGTGTACGTGTGGTGGCATGAATTAACAGCAATTCCCGGAAAAGCCCCTTGCATTTTGATATCCTAGTACTGATTTTGCAAACAAGCACATTCTTTATTTACAGCTACTTTTTGAGCTTTGTAAATATTTAATCATGGTTTGAGTGGTTAGATGCCTTACTTTTCTATCATATCACATATCATACTATGGTTTTCTGACCCTAAACGCATTTACTTGGAAGCAAATACTAGTTGGTTGCAATAAGCCTATTACAATTAGAAAGAAATGCTGTCAAGTAGATTATTTTATTAATGCAGTGCTTCCCAAACCTGTATAATTACCCAAAATTGGATAAAAGTGGGGGGACGGCGGGTTTGGGTAATGACACAATGACATTATCCATCACAACGGGAACATTTAACTTGACTTAAATATTGTCACATGTACCAACATATATTTGAAAATCTCCCAAAGTATTCCTATTAAGACAAAAATTGTGAAATTACCAATGGAAATTTGTAGAAATCACATAAAAATCATTCATTGATGTTGTTTCTATAATGCAGGTATTCCTTGAGTTATGACTTTTCATTCAGTGACCACTCTAAAGTTGTGATGGTGCTGAATGAAGGGACTTAGGACTGATTCTCAAAATATGATAAGAGTTTCTGATTAGCAGTTTGGAGTAATAAACGAAAACGTTTGGGTAGCATTGCTTTAATAAGACATATTTACTTGTTTAAACCATTTAGCCACTAGATGGCAATATATGCACTGCAGTGTAAAAAGGTAGACCAGGCTATTTTGTTTTCCTAATGTAGATGGATTTGCTCCCCATTTTATTTATGTGCATTAACAATGCCATGGAGTATATGCAGAAACAAAATACTTACAGTCTTTAATTAAATTATTATTATTATTATTATTATTATTATTATTATTATTATTATTATTATTATTATTATTATTATTATTATTATTATTGTAGTAGTAGTAGTAGTAGTAGTAGTAGTAGTAGTAGTAGTAGTAGTAGTGTTGGAGCATTCACCGCTTCTGAAGGCGGGTTGTTCCACTGGTTAATTGTTCTAACTGTCAGGAAGTTTCTCCTTAGTTCTAGGTTGCTTCTCTCCTTGATTAGTTTCCATCCGTTGCTTCTTGTCCTGCCCTCAGGCGCTTTGGAAAATAGCTTGACTCTCTCTTCTTTGTGGCAACCCCTGAGACATTGGAACACTGCTATCATGTCTCCCCTCGTCCTTCTCTTCATTAAACTAGACATACTCAATTCCAGCAACCGTTCCTTATATGTTTTAGCCTCTAGTCCCCTAATCATCTTTGTTGCTCTTCTCTGTACTCTTTCTAGAGTCTCAACATCTTTTTTACATCGTGGTGACCAAAATCGGATGCAGTATTCCAAGTGTGGCCTTACCAAGGCATTGTAAAGTGGTATTAATACTTCACATGATCTTGATTCTATCCCTCTGTTAATGCAGCCTAGCACTGTGTTGGTTTTTTTGGCAGCTGCAGCACACTGCTGGCTCATATTTAAGTGATTGTCCATTAGCACTCCGAGATCCCTCTCACAGGTACTACTATTGAGCAAGGTACCCCCTATACTATACCTGTACATTTGGTTTTTCTTGCCTAAATGTAGAACCTTACTTTTTTCACCATTGAATTTCATTTTGTTAGATAGTGCCCAGTGTTCAAGTCTGTCCAGATCTTCCTGTATCCTAAGCCTGTCTTCTGGAGTGTTGGCTATTCCTGCCAGCTTGGTGTCGTCTGCAAATTTGATGAGTTCCCCATCTATCCCCTTGTCCAAATCGTTGATGAAGATGTTGAAGAGCACTGGGCTCAGAACAGAGCCCTGGGGCACCCCACTACACACTTCCCTCCATGTAGATGCGGTTCCATTGAGGATCACACGCTGAATACGGCCGGTCAGCCAGCTATGAATCCATCTGGTGATGATGCTGTCTAACCCACATTTTTCTATCTTATTAAGTAGTAGGTTGTGGTCTACTTTATCAAATGCCTTACTGAAGTCCAAGTATAAATTATATCCACAGCATTCCTCTGGTCCACTAATTTTGTCACTTGGTCAAAGAATGCAATAAGATTTGTCTGGCATGATCTGTTTTTGACAAATCCATGTTGGCTTTTAGTAATGACTTTGTTTGCCTGTAGGTGTTCACTGATTCATTGTTTGATTATCTTTTCCAGAATCTTCTCAGGTATTGAGGTCAGGCTGATAGGTCTGTAATTTCCTGGATCCATTTTTTTTCCTTTTTTGAAAATGGGAACTACATCAGCTCTTTTTCAGTCCTCTGGTAGTTCCCCAGTGCTCCAGGAATTTTTGAAAAATATAGTTCAGTGGTTCTGAAATCACATCTGCCAGTTCTTTGAGAACCTTGGGGTGTAATCCATCTGGTCCTGGTGATTTGAACTCGTCTAGGCTGGACAGGTGCTCACTTACCATTTTCTTGCCTATCTTAACTTGTGTTTCTATTCTATTTTTTATGGCACTATTTTTGATAGGTTGGTCTGTTTTTTCCCTTTGTGTAAAGAGAGATGCGAAAAACGAGTTAAATAGTTCTGCTTTCTCTCTGTTGCTTGTCACCTTCTTGCCACTTTCACCCACTAATGGACCAATCGTTTCCTTCACTTTTTTCTTGTTTTTTACATGTTGAAAGAAACTTTTTTTTTTTTTTTTTTTACTTTGGTTGCAAGCCTTAGTTCATTTTGAGCCTTAGCTTTCCTCACTTCATCTTTGCAGGCTTGGGCTGTTTGCTGATATTCTGACTTAGTTATGTGTCCCTCTTTCTACTTTCTATACTTGTCCTTTTTATCTTGTCTAGAAGTCTGGCTAAGTCTGGAACTGGCTAATAGGCAATCATTATGCCTTTATTACACATATGCTGAAACCAGTGAAGTAAAAATCATATTCTGTTTTATTGGTTAACTTTTCCATTTAACCAGTTTTCCAGTATATTTTCCACCATATGGAAATACTCAGATTCTTTCCTGCTCTCCAGAATCTTGCTACTACCTGTCTGACTGCAAACAATAAGAGTATATCAACTTTCTATGTTTCAATGTGTGATTTCTATTATTTTTAAAAAATAGGCCAATGTAGAATCTGATATAACATGGAATAACTTTACAAGACCATATATATGATGCAATGAACCTTTTTCTTATACATTCTTTTCTCCAAACTCATAAAGTTTATACTAGATTTTATCATGTTAAGCTTTTTAGGCAAGATGTTTGTGTTCTCCTTTAATAGAATATTGTAATTTAGATCTTATGATTCAGAGAGAGAGATAAGCTTACAGGTTGTCCTCAACTTACGACCACAATTGAGCCCAACATTTCTGTTGCTAAGCAAGACAGTTGTTAAGTGAATTTTGTTCTATTTTATGACTTTTTTACCACATTTGTTAAGTGAATCACTGTAGCTATTAAGTTAATAGCAGGATTGTTAAGTGACTCTGGCTTCCCCATTGACTTTGCTTGTCAGAAAGTCACAAAAGGTGATCACATGAGCCCAGGATACTGCAATCATCATAAATACATGCCAGTTACCAGTGGTGGGATTCAAATATGTGAACAACCGGTTCTCTGTGTGGATGCTGCTTCCGGAAGTCCATTCTGGGCCTGGGCAACAAAAAATTAGCTACCGGTTCTGCCGAAGTGGTGCAAACCGGCTGAATCCCACCACTGCCAGTTACCAGTCTGAATTTTGATTACATGACCATGGGGATACTATAACAGTCATAAATGTGAAAAACTGTCATAAGTTTTTTTTTCAATGCCGTTATAACTTTGAATGGTCAATAAACAAATGGTTGTAAGTCAAGGACTACTGTTCCTCTCCACATCATTATTATTCCAGTGCCTTTAAGGTTTCATGAGAAAATACTCAAATTAACCATGTTTCAAAAGTCTTTTTTTCAGTGGAAGTTAAGATATATCATAGACTGAACTGATTAATTATGTGCCATCAATTTTCGACTCCATTATCCACATAGACAGATTTTTCCCAAGGTGATCAATCCCTAGCCTGATATTTCAAGTCTACCTTGGACATGTTGATTCAACATACTCTTTGCATATATCTTGTTTTTCTCCTGATGCTAGTTTAAAAAAAGGGACATTTCATGAAAAAGAGATCCAGTTTTCCTCAGAAGTTGCATTAATCTCTTTATATTGTTTTTAGTACATATTATGAATGTTCTAAAACATATTTCTTTTGGAATACTGTTGGAATATTGTTCTGTGCCTTTAAGTAAGTTTCCTTATTTTTTTTTTTAGATTATATTAATGATATTAATGTAACAGACATTGTTCCTGGTACAAATGGAAGCAATAGAGGTAAGCAAACTGGAAAAACAATTTCTTGCTGTTGCAGTGTTCCCGAAACTTGGAATCTGGTTTACCTTAAGCAGGGCTTTTTTTCTCGGAGAAAAGGTGGCGGAACTCAAACCTGGCCACGCCCTCATCAAACCCTAGGACCGCCCCTTTAGAGAACAGGAATGCAAGTAAAATTTGGGAGGGGCTATTTCCGGTGTGGGAGGGGCTATTTCCGGTGCGGCCGGCCCGGAAAAAGGTGCCGGAACACGGTTCCGCCGCGTTCCGGCTGAAAAAAAGCCCTGACCTTAAGGACAAAATTCTTAATAAATATGCCTCTTTTCAACATTGTGAGGCAGTTGGGATGGCAAATCATTTGTAAGCCTCGCATGTTTGCATTCCTCATAGATTCAAAGTAGGCAGAGAAGAATAATCTTGGTAAATAATTCCTAAACAATAAATCCATAAAAGATAATTGTCTTGCTTTCAGATAGATAATAACTGAAGACCACACAGTGTTTCACTGACTCAAATTCTCAACCATGGAAATAGATGCTGGTAATAGTGCATATGTAAACACTTTTAGAACTTCCGCCTTTCCAGGTGGAAAGTTCTAAATACAGCCTTTCCTCAAACAATGAATCCTTCTTTTGCTTGGGTGAACAATTGAGAACTACAATAGTGCCATAAAGTTGTGCAAATCTTAAGGCATGAAATTTACCACCTAGCACAGAGCCCTTTCCGACTACAAGATGAATGAGAACAAAAAAAAAAAAAGGTTCAGAAATGTTAGTCTTGTCCATCCTGGTAATAGCACAGTCTCACTTTTTAGCTTTTTTCGCTGGTCTACTAGTTTAGTCACTTGAATAGTTTAGTATTTTGGAAAAAAAAATGTTTTTTTTCAGATATTTGCAGAACAGAGGGATCATAGTTTCACAATAGAAACATCTTAGTTTTAAAAGCTTATTTCAAAAGCCACCCTGATGTTATTTCATTATTTGTTATTACACGGTACTGTTCTTAACTGTGCTAGCTAAATGTTGCATCAAACCAATAGGAAGAATTCAGCCTTCACTGTAACTTCATATAAATTTCAGAAATGCTATTAATTTTTCTCAAATACTACAGTTATATAGATAGCAAGGAACAAACAAACTGGAAAAATAATGCTAATTATTCTTTTACATCAATCTATTCTCTACAAAGGTTTGTGCTTCAGGGAGTTGTAGCCAGCTAGGCAAAAGGCCGGCATGGGATGAAAAAAATTCACTGGGAAATTAGTTCATGCTTTCTGTATAAATCATGGCTAATGACATCTTATACTAGATTCTCAAAAAGATAGCCTTCTGCTATATGATTTTGGTCTTCCACCTAGATCTAACCTAGCAATTTACAACATGATATCTTTTGAATATTAGGGAGTTGTAAGAGTCAAATCAAATCAAATCAGATCTTTATTATGGTCATATACTTCATAAATAAAAGTCAAAATTCCCATTTGGAAAATACTGCACAACTATGAGGAAGTTGTATAAAATGAATGGTGGCAAATGTAATGAGTTAAAAGGAATAGACAGTACTCTGGAACTCTTTTTATGTGTATTAATATCTTAAAAATATAAGAAAGCACCTTCCCTTGTAGAGTTCCACTTGTCTGGATCTGTTGCTTAATTGTGTTATCTTCCCTTTTGTGCAAAGTATTATGTACCACTCAGAAATCTGTAGTTAAAGGAAAGAATGCTGGATGTATTATCTTCCCCTTTGTGCAAAGTATTATCTGCAACTCAGAAATCTGTTGTTAAAGGGAAAGAATGCTGGATCTGAATGCAGTATGCTATTATGAATCTACCATTGTATTTATAGTTTGAACTTGCTGTAATCCACATAAGTCTTTCAAGTTGTTGGGGCTATGAAAAATCAAAAATAAGTAAACAGATATTGGAATCTGCTGACATCCAGGATAACCATCCTTTAACTAAGATGCAGAGCTATATCCAACCATACATGACTACATGCTGCTGAAATTCCATGCTGCTTATGTGCTACTTAGAAGCCTGCAGTTTGGTAGACTGTACCCTTGGCTCCTAATAATGATCCAAAAGATTATTTTGCAGCTTACGTGGCATCTCTGCAGTATTTGGATTTGTTTCACTAGGCTAGAACTGAGGCAGTGCTCTAGAAAGAAACCAGTTTGAGAGTAAGGGGAAGAGAAAACATGTTCAGGAACATCAAGAGTCTTATAAAACAAAAAATATAAAGGAATTATATATATGATAGATGACAGAGTGTTAGCCATTTCTTTCCTGTTGAGTACACTTGTGGATTGTGTTAATTCCAGCTCAGATGCCTTCCTGATGTGCATAAGTTTTATAATTTGTATGCACCCAAGGATGTGTTCAGTGGTACATTATAGCTCTGGCTGGACACATATGTGCTGTGTGGCTAATTTTGAGAAAGTGCCAATTTCCTATGTAGGTTTTTAAGACTTATAACAAAAGGAAAAGAGTATCCACCTCATAAGCAACCCCAGTAATTCTGGGGGGACTTGGGAAGGAGAAAATTGCCAAAATGAGTTTCTGTGCAAGGAGTTATAAGTTAGACTAATCAGTATTCAAATGATTTGAGCTACAAAAGTTGTGTTGATTTCATTGCGAATTACAGCACTGCCCAACTGTCGAAATGTTTTGAGTGAAATAAAACCAACATTTTAATGTATCTAGATTCAACCTGACTTATTAATACACTGGAAAACTATAACCCTCTGATAGCTGCCTTGATCCTTCTTCTCTTTTCATTGCAACAAATGGTGAATAGGGGAAGAGTGTATTAATTTACACAGCTGCAACAAATGAGATGTTAAATGCAGCACTCTTTTATTGCACATCCCATCTTTCCCTATCAGAGGCCTAATGACCATATGGCAGCATGAAAAGGGCAGTTTGCATGATGAAGGATAGGGATTATTGTTCAGAGGTACTTCAGAGTTACTGGAGTGCAGCTCCCATCATTCTGGGCAGCATAGCCCAAGGCCTTTGGTCATGTTGTCTGGAAATGGCAGTAGCTATAATAATGGTATCTGAAGGATACCAAGCAAAGGAAGGCTCACTCCCAGTATTCATTTCTTACCTGCAAGAATTATGTGTGCATATAAACAATATGGAGATCATGCTTAAATAAAAGTAAGCCTGCCATAAACAGAGCTTGTATGTTTTTGGTTTTGGTGCATTTACATCAGTGTTGGCTCCTGGCAATACCTGGACTAATCCCTGTGGTTTTCTTGTCATGATTTTGGAAGTGGTTTGCCATTGCCTTCTTACTAGGGCAAAGAAAGTCAATGACTGGCCCAAGGTCACTCAGCTGCCTTTGTGTCTAAGGTAGAACTAGAACACTGTCTCCTGGTTTCTAGCTGATGCCTTAACCACTGACTCTTTTCTATGGATTAGAAACTGACTCTTTTCTATGGATTAGAGTTCATATATTTATTCTCAGGTTATTGTTTTGCTTTAGACATAAATGATTCTTTGCCATAAGGATGAGTGGCTATTAGTCTTAGTGGCAGTGAGACTGCTCTGAATGGAATCTAGTGGACTTTCTTGTACAATTGGCCATTGTAAGAACAGACAACTGGACTATATGGGCCAGCAGGGCACTGCTTATGCTTATTTGAAGAGGTTAATCTAATGCAGTGTTTCTTAACCTTGGCAATTTTGGGGTTGGGTGGACTTCAATTCCCAGAATTTCCAGCCAACCAAGATTGAGAAACATTTAACTAAAGTTCAAGCTTTGATTTCCAACACATACTTCCTCACTATCACCATCACCACCAAGTGCAAATGATTTCCTTAAGCTAAACAATCATTTTCTTTCCTTTTTAATTTTACAGTAATATGTCCTAGCGATGGTAGCCATGAAGTACCAGGAAATGAAACTTTTGAATTTACTTCTACCAGTGCTGCTGGATTTGAGGAATTTGAAAAGTGGTGGGACAAATCCAAAACAGTTCCATTTTATTTAACCATCATTCTTCTACTGTTGAATTTTAAGTCTCCATCTTTCTTTGCCAAGTTTAACATATTAGGTATGTAGTAGTCATTTAAAATTTTTTAAAAGTATGCACAATAGATTATTTTTAGATATCTTGACTCAATAAATTTCTTATTAGTTGTGGACATCTCTACACAAAAGTATTTGCTTTGATTTTTCAGCATCTCATGAAATTTTTCAGCATCTCATGAAATTTAAAACTTGCCAGGGGTGGTGGTGAGGGGAATAACAGGCCTTGAATTAACTTGGAGCAGCAAATATTGTGGAAGATTTTATATGTTGTTTTAGTTCTTCAACCTCTCTTTCCACTGGAAAATGTTTCCTTCTTATAAAGACAGTGCTTCCACTGTGGGAAAAGAAAACATTTTGCTATACTCTTTTTTTTCTCCAGTAACTGGAAAGCAATTTTGTCCAGATTTCATCATGTTTAATGATCCCTCAAAATGGTTAACTTTTGCTAGTTGACATCTCTAATTGTGTGTTTTTAAACTTTAAAAAGAGACTGCAGTAATCCAGTTGTGAATCTATTACATTGTATACTTCAGCCAAGGAAGAAAGAACAACTGTCTACTTTAACCATAACAGAAAAGTTTCAAACTTTTTGCATTGTCCTTATTCTTTTTATTCAATTGGAGATATTCCTTGAAATAGTAAAAGGTTAAAACAAAGACTATGAAGGCTTAGAAATCCATAGGAGTTTATATTTTTGCTCATTTTGTTTCCAGTTTTTCAAATGCTGTTTTATTTTCTCTGTGTGCAAGTATATTCACATACATATAAGAAAGTAATAGGTAAAGTAATAATGAAAGTTGGATGTGAAAGTTGGACCATAAGAAAGGCTGAGCGACAAAGAATTGAGGCCTTTGAACTATGGTGCTGGAGAAGACTCCTGCAAGTCCCTTGGACTGCAAGGCGTTCAAACCAGTCAGTCCTAGAAGAGATCAACCCCGACTGCTCTTTAGAAGGCCAGATCCTAAAGTTGAAACTCAAATACTTTGGCCACCTAATGAGAAGGAAGGACTCACTGGAGAAGGGCCTAATGCTGGGAAAGATTGAGGGCAATAGAAGAAGGGGACGACAGAGAATGAGGTGGCTGGATGGAGTCACTGAAGCAGTAGGTGTGAGCTTAAATGGACTCCAGAAGATGGTAGAGGACAGGAAGGCCTGGAGGAACATTGTCCATGGGGTCGCGATGGGTCGGACACGACTTTGCAACTAACAACAACACCAACAATAATGAAAGTAATAGATAAGGTGAAATTATATTTTGTAAAGCAATATTGTTCTGCAATAATGCAGGCATGTCAAACACAAGGCCCAGGGGCCGGATGTGGCCCACGAAGCCATCCTGGAAACAGTGAGGGAACGACCCCCGCTGCCCTGGCCCTGGCCCAGGCCGGCCAGGAGGGAGCCAATGTACAGTTTTGTGGTGGCTATCTATGCTGAAACGCATTCAGTCTTAGCTCCATAAGGCCGTCTGGAAACAGCGAGGAACCAGCCCTGCTGCGTCGGCCCCACCCCCTGGGTGCATGCTGGGGAAGTGTCACCCTTTGTGAGGAATGAAGAAATGCACCATCGCCTGGAAGTGGCCAGCAAATGGCCCTCGCCTACTTTACATATCTGGCTTGATGGGCTCTGGGGGCGGGGTTTCGACAGATAAGTGCAGCTGGATGTCCCCTTGGGGAAGTGGGGCTGGGCTTGGTGCCGTGGGTGCTTGAGGGTCAGGCTGGGCATTTGACCTCTGCTGTCCAGGGCTCCCGGCAGCCCGTACCACCATCCAACCCCCCCATGGCCTGAGAGGAACAATGAGGCTCCTCCTGTGGACCATGCCTTGGCATTTGCCCTGGTCCCACCCCCTTCTGCCAGAGACCCTCAGATCTGTCCCACTCCTGCCCAGGCCCCCACAGGCACCCTTGATGCGAACGATGTAGAGCTGGCCACACCCACCCAGGATGCTACACCCACTCCATCCACGCCCACCCAGGAGGCCGCACCGACCCTGGCCGTACCCGCTCGGCCCCTGGAGGGCAACTGCAATGATGATGCGGCCCTCAATGAAATTGAGTTTGACACTCCTGCAGTAATGCAATCTGTTTATCCATGTGTATCAGATCATGTTTATGAAAATGGATGTGCAAAATATGCTCGCTTTATGTTGCAGAGGGACTGCAGTACTATAAAGGAAGTTTTTGTACTGCAAATTCATTATTTTTTATGAAAATATCCACATTTAAAACACATCTGTATTTTGTTACTTTGTCTAGAATTTCTAGTCTCCAAAACCTTGATTAATTTTTCTTTCAGATAATTATTATAGGAATAATAGTAATAGTCGTAATGTAGTAGTAATAATTTTGAAATTATTTTGTCCTCTCACTAACTTATGTTCCAGTTTGGTATTGTTGAATCTGATGCCAAGTAACTTCATCTCAGTCAGTCACTGTTAAATTGATTTACAAGAAGAATATAAAAGAGAAAAGCTGGACTGTAATGTTCTAAGTCTCGTAGAGGTTAAAGGACTTTTTTTCCCCTCTGTCCATTAGTTTAAATATGTCTAGATATCATTGTTGTTTTTTTTCTTTTCCCCACTGCAGGTACTGTCTCTGTCATTTATTTAGTTATTCTTGTTACTATGAAAGCTGCTCTTCTAGGATTCCATTTAGAATTTGATTGGACTGCAACAAATACATATTTTGTGCCAGGTAAACTTTAAAAAAAAAATTCTAGACTATTATCTTTAAATAATTTAACAGACTGAATAGGGCCTGCAGGGTAGAATATGCTTTCTGCTGTAGTCTTACTTATACCTATCTTGCTATAATCCAAGCCCTAATTGACTAAAACACACCAGGCCTGTAGCTTCTCTACCTATAATGAAGGCTGGAACCATCCCTATAGGCAAAAATGGGTCACCCATGCTAAGCCATAGTTCACTAAAGAAGAGATGATGACTGGGTACACACATAAACATAATCCTTACATTGGATAGTCACCACAGTGGTGATTCTACTTCAGATCTGAAGCCAAGACAGTAGTTTTGTTCTTCTTCTTATAAAAAGGCTTGTAAAGAGGTGTCACGGTAATTTCTTCTACTTTTGCTGGGAATACAATATGTTGTCAAAATAAGCTCTGAAGAATATTGTTTTCCTCTGCTACTCTTTGATTAGATTATTCTTTATTTTCTTGGGGAATCCTGCCTGGGGAATCATTATCCAGGTGCTAAATTTAATTATTCCTAGACAATCGCATACAGCTAAAGGAATTACAAACATTGTTTCCTCCTAGGGATTTCTCCTCAATTTGCTCATACTTTATAGGCAGTCTTCCGGTTTCCCTTAGCCCGTATGGATTGGTACAGTAGCTACCAGCCATTACAACAAAAACAAAACAGAATGCTTAAAGATATTCCAATGCCATTCTTTTCTTCAGAAAAAATAAATAAATTGAAAATACCCTGTAACAAGAAATTCTTGATATTCTGTGAACATTGCCTTCCACATGTACGGTAGGTTTTTGATGTGAGAGGCTTTATAGAAATGTTCTCTTTAAAGAAAAGTGTTGGAAAAGGCACAAGTGAGTGGGGATTCCCAGAGGACACCACTGCTTAGCATACAAGGCTTAATTTAGGGCATCAATGAAACAATCTGGCTGCCAGCTGTCAGGCCGCTCCTTGTCCTTGAATATTCCTGCCAGCAGTCCTCATGGTCTACCATTCCTCTTGCAGACCATGGAAAATGAATTGGAAATTGTTAGTAAATTATGAGGCAATCTTTCCCAATCTACTTCCTTTCAAATAAGTTGACCCCACATTACATAGAGTTCACAGATGGTATGGGTCAAAGACAGTGTGTTCCCTCTCATGTGGAGAATCAAAATGTATTTGTTTCTTGTCAAGCATGAACATTTCAAACCTGTTTAGAGAGCAGAGTTTACTGTAATTCTAAATTAGTTTGAATAAATGATTAATACAATATATGGTGGATAACATTCATAAACTAAGGCCATATTGATTAAAAGAAAAATAACTGTTGTTCTCTATAATGGGAAGCATCAGAGGAGGAGTTTGTTAGAATCCATACCAAGATTTAGGATCTGTGGTTTGGATAATTTTCTCCTCCTTTTTTCCAGACATTATAATAGAGTAAATAATAGTTCTTAAAAGGGTTTTCTTAGTCAGTGGCTGATGTTATGGTAAACACAAGTTCCTATACGCATGATGAAACAGAGTGATTTTAACTTTAGCTTGACAGCAGAGTAGGAGAAAAATAATATTTGTGCTTGAGAGCTTACTTTGAGTGCTTGAGTGAAATATAATTCTCTTAGATCTCCTAGGTAAAAGCCCAAGTAGGAAGAATGGGGAGTAGGGAGTAAATATGATAGTAATCATACTCAAATCATTTGCCCAGGTTAGAATCTCCTGGCATGCTAGCTCATATTTTTGTCATGTGACAATCTCATTGGTGTGTGATAGAAGACATGCGGGATATGTATATGGACCAATGCTTCACCCTTGGCTATCATTATTGCATCTACTTGGCTGTCCGATAGTTTTGTCTAACATGCAATGAGGCTTTCCCATAATAGTCTTCCAGATGGCTTTTGTCAGAAATCATTGCTCAGATGTTACTGTTTACTGGCACACTTCATCTGTGAATGTTTGCATGATTATTCAAACAAGGCAGGAAAAAGAGCAAAAGAGGAGGGAGAGAATTATGCAATTCTTTTGGGTTGTTTGTGAATTTGACCAGATGTTAAGTTAGTGAACTTGGTAAATCCAGCTTTAACTTTAATCAGGAAAGTCTTACAAACATTAGAATTTCAGCCTTGTATTTTGATAAATCATGGGTGGGCAACAAACTCATCATTGAAAAGCCATCTATGAATTAAGTCAGCAAGGAAGCATCATGTTTCTACTTATTTTTGTGAAATGGAAACAATGCATTTTGTACATGCAATATGATCAGTGTTGATGTCAGTAAAACAAAACAAAACTCTTAAATAGATATTCTAGAGCAGACATCAAAATAATTCCACTCCATTTTCTTTGGTACTAATATTTCTACTGGCCTCAGTCTGGCACCATATCTTAACTGGGAATATGTGGCATGCTAAATCATAATAGTTTGTTGCTTTCTGCTATTGTGATTCTAGCCGTAGGCTTATACAGTCTATGAACCCAGCCAAATGTGGTTTCATCAGTAAATTATCATTATGCCAACCATGGCTTAGTCTCTCATACAAATGGAACTAATTTCTATTATAGAGATATATAAGTAACCTAGTAGGAAAGCAGTGTCCTGCTTAAACTTCCATTTGTTTTAAAATATAGCCAGAAAAGCCATTCTAGTGGTAGAGAAGGGAAAGCAAAACTTTTTTTTGAGCTTAGCTGGTCAGTCAGAGAACAGCTTGGTTTCAAAGATAAGTTTTTACTACTGAATAGTAATTCATGGTATCTAAAACAGATGACAACAAAAAGAAATATGTTTTATTGATTGTTAAATTAAGATGTTACCCACCAGAAATACAAAATAAGCTGGAAAACAATTATGTATTAGGTATAAACATACACGTTTAACTTAAACCTTTTTTTTTTTTTAAAAAAAGATATTTAATTACAAAGGAAATGAATGTTTTTTACCTTTTTAAAATCTGCAGTCCTATACGTACTTGAGATGAGTCAGGCCCATTTTCAATGCATCTGCATATCCTAGTGTAGAAAATGCTGCAAAGCTGTTACTATCACATTCACGAATGCTTCCTTTTAGCTTTTATTTTACTTGCATTAGTTAGAACAAGATTAACCTCGATCCCAGAAGTCCTCAGTATAGCTGAATTCTGCATCATAGTAGAACATTCTTACTTTCCTAATATGCAGACTGTGACTTTTTTGGGGGAAAATGCTTCTTTCTTGTGAAAAATGTGTTCCCCCCCCCCTAAATGTGTTCAGTATTATTATTTAGTCTTCTATGGTTTTCAAATTTAAAAAATGTGATTAAAATGATGTAACCTTATTGTAAATAATACAAGGCAATATAAATGGGCGGATAGTAGTTATAGTTCTTAGGAAAGAGGAGTAAAATGAGCGGGATTAGGCATTTGTTTTGTTTTGCTGATATGTTTGCGTGTGTGTGTGTGTGTGCATGTGTGTGTGAGAGAAAGATTTGTCCATTGTCAATTATGAATACAATGTCCAGGAGGCAAGCAATATATTAAGAGCTGTCTTATTTCTAATTTCATACAGCTATTTCTATAATTGTTGGTTTTTCTTTTACATTTGATTTGCTTGCTGCTTCTCCTGTATGTTTTGCCAAGCTTAAATATATCTTACCTGAATGTATAATAGCTGCCACTACAAATATGATTGGGACCTTGGCTTAGAAATCAATAGACTGGACACCTGGGATATTCATTGTAATATTAACAGTCACCACTCCAAAAATTCTGATTTATATTTTTTTTTCTCCAGAATTCAGGATCTTTTTTCCTCAGCTTACAGGTGTGCTGACCCTGGCTTTCTTTATCCATAATTGTGTAATTACGCTACTTAAGAATAACAGGAACCAAGAAAATAACGTAAGTGACTACAGGAGAAAATATGTTTATGTGCAAAAAATGACTCTTCCTGAAAATGCTTTTTGTAATGGTTATTATGTGCTCAGATATTGCCTGTGCTGAGGTCATGTAAATTTCAGCACCTTAAATCAATGTTTGCTCGCCTTAGCCTACAGCTAGTTTTCTCTGAATGCTTCATTAAACAATCAAATATTATTAGGGCCAGCTCTTTTCATGTCAGAATGAAATTCTTACTGTACAGTTTTTTTGAAGCACATCATGTCATGCCCTGCTCAAAATAAGATTCTGAATAAATCAAGTAAGGAAGTCATTGATGGCTTTCAGTTTGAGAAAGTTTAGAGAACCATTTCTAATGTTCCAAGGCTGTTTCATTCCGTATTCATACATATGATTTTCAACTGGCAAAGATGTAGGATAAAAATGAATCTTCCCTACAGTGGATGTTCTGTCGAAATGACTCCATTAGCTCTGCATAAAATCATTTAGGCTTTGTCACTTCAGCCAGTGTCAGTCTTCAGGACTGACTTTTGGAAAAGCATTGAGCAGCAAGGCAGAACATTGATACTTATCTCAAGTTTGCCATTCAGCATCTGGATGACCTTCCAAATATTTGGAGAAATGTTTTACAGCTGGTTCTCAAACTTAAATGGTCATGAATGACGCATGAAGTCTGGTTCATTAATATGAGGATCAGAACACTGATTTTTGTATATTTATACTAAAGGCTCTAATGAGTCAAGAAAGAAGAAAATGAAGAATACCATGATACATCATTAAACAAAAAAATATTAAATTTTTAAAGAATGTTGAAAAAAATGGTATAGTGTATTTTTGCCCTTTTACTTTGACCATTTATTTGGCTGCATTTTTTATTTATCAGAACACAAATATTTGGTTTGGTTTGGGGGTATTGTTGAATAGCAGCATAAAACCTTTGAACCTAATAATGTGGAACTTGGCACTTCAGACGAGGCAATTATTCCTGAAAATCATTTTAAATTCTGCCAAGAAATCAAAAGGATATTTACAATTCTCTTTAAAGAGTAGGAGGATTGAAAGGGGAAATGCATATTTTGTTTTTATGAAATTACCATAAGTACAGCTCACTTCCAAAGTATTTTTTAATTGAAAGTAGGCTGAATTTATCATTTTCTGTCTCAAAGAAAAAAGCAATTGCAATTACATGAGTTCTGGTTATAACTTCCAGTTATATTCTTCATTATCTTGGCTTGGCACTATGGATTAAAGCTGTATGATGGAAGTAGCTTAAAAAGAAACAAAGTAAGAAGTACAGGTAGTCCTTGACTTCAAACCATTCTGTGTTTGAAGTTACAACAGCCATGAAAAAAGTGACTTATGACTGTTTTTCATACTTACAACTATTGCAGCATCCTCGTAGTTACATGATCACAATTTGGATGCTTAGTAACTGGCCTTAAAGGGGTTACTCCATTCCACAGGAACTTATACCAACTTCAAGCATGGAGATGGTAGTGTCATGGTTTCAGTGTGCTTTGCTGCCTTGAGATCTTGATAGTTGCCATCATTGGAGGTAATATGAATTCTGCTTTATATCAGAGAACTTTACAGGTGAAATGCAAATGCATTATGTGGCAAACTGATCCCAGCCATACAAATCAACTAGGGAATGGATGAAGAAGAAACTTAATATTTTTGAATGACCAAATAGTAGTTCCTAGAAATTACAGGAAGTGTTGGTGATATGTCCAATTACTCAGTTTAAGAGGGCAAATACTTTTTCACGCAGACACATCATATATTAGCTACCTTTGTTTCTGCAATAGATAAAACAAGCATCAAAGTTTGTTCACTCCATCTCTCTTCATATAACAGAAGGATCACGTGAAGCTCTGCCTGATTCCGTCACAAAGATATGCAACATTTAAACAATCTGAAAGAAGGTGCTTTCCAAATTGAGCCACTTGGGAGACTTGCTTCCTTCACCTTCTGCTTTTGGAGCAAAACAAAACGGAAAAAAAACTATCAGTGTAAATGATGACTGGGAAGCCCCCCCAGAAGTCCTAATCTTTTATAAAATGATCACAAGAACTTTATTCTCCCAGATTTTCAATCTTATTTTAATTGTTCATGGTGACCATATTGAGAAGCGGTTATTTGATGTTTTTACTCTATGGCACTATGCTTTCCATATTTAACATAAGAGCTGAACTTGATGGTTTTTGTAGCATAAAACTGAAGCTAAACTCTTTCACTATAGCAACACAAAAATAGCATATTCTTTGTATTGAAGAGATGCTTATTTTAGAAGGTTCTCATCTTTCTGTTCTTATAAGTAGAGAAAGAGAAAAAAAAGTGTTACTTTCTGGGTGAATATGGAAACTAAACCCATAAACTTTTTACACTGCAGCACAGCCTAATGCTTTTAGACTGTAGCCTAGCCTAATGTTTGCAGATCTAGCAGTCTAGTGTTTCCAGAACTAGTGTATTAATCTCAAATGTCTGCAGTAAAACAAGTTCAAAGTTCAGAGATTGAGATCACTGTTTGTGCTGTGAGCAAGCATTGACTAGATATAAAATCTGTTACATTCTCCATTTTTAAATTCATATCCTCCCTATCCTGCTTGAGTAAAGCAGCTGCTGAACAGACAGCAACAGACTGGGGAAGGGGAAGCATGTTCTGCCAAGGAAGAAGAGAGTTCCATAAGGTGTTGGTTTTCAATTTGGGTTTGAAGATCCCATTGCAAAGAGTTAAAGGAATTATATCTATCTGATGATAAATTAAGGTCAAAATTACTCACTGAAATTGTCTGTGTTTGTTGTATAATTATTCATTTTCTGTTGCTTCAGGGGCTTGGACAAAATCTGGGTTGCAGAGAGTATACACTGTCTCTTCTTCTTTTTTTTCTCATTCTTGAGTCCTGATTTGTAGTTGTAGTCCTGGAGCAGATAGATAACCTCTCAGGCGATATAGTTGTGAGAGTAATTTAATAAATATTAAAAAAACAAGAAAATAAAAATGGCATGTTGCAGAATAGAAAAAGCGAGTTAATGTTTTTCTACACATTGCAGGTGTCTGTGGTTCTATTACATATAACATTATAGTTCTATGATTCTGTGAAAACACTGTGGGAATGTAGATAAATGTTCAAACAGTGCTGGGGTATCCAAGTGAAGATCCCCACTTGAGAAGAATGAAGTCAACCAGGAGTATTCATGCCAGAGTCAAGAAGGTCAAGATGATGTTAATAGGGACATGGATTTGATCCTATGATGTGGCTGTCATTTTGACTTTTTAAAATATCCCTCCCAGAATCTTATAGCTCTGTTTTTCTACTATATCATCATAAATCACAATTTGTCCACAATATTTAATTAAAAAGCCATATATAATATATGCTGAACCATATTTTGTTAACCATGGTTCACTGAATAAACTGCACCCTCGGTTGGATTTGCATAACTTATTGAGCCAAAAACAAACACAGCCTCCATTATCATCTAGTCTAGCCAAGGAGATCTCTTATCAAGGGTTTAATTTTTTTCAGCTCAGGTTCATGCCCCCATTAAATAAAAAATAAATATTTGAAAAGGTAAACAGTTCAGCTATGCCACATTTTTCCACTTAAGTCATTGTGACACAAGACTTTCAAACGTATTTCCATGTGAGCATCTCTCTCCCCCAGCTTGTCATGTGCCTTATCCCTCCTTTCCTCCCCCAATGTGTTATTTCTTGGGTTTCTGCTTAGGCAAAGACTCAATGCTCAGCTGCTAGTGGAAGCAAAGACATTTGGTGCCTGCTTTTATTCAGCACAGGCAAACGGCAACCCCAAGGAGAAGAGACAGGGAGCAGGAGTCAACTTGCTTGCTAAGTAAATCTCAACTACTGTTATAAAATGGGCCAGGTCACTACTGAGAACACAAGGCACAAATCAGTAACCCACTACTAAAGAACTGAATAGACTACAGTATGGTCCAAGATGTTGTATAAGTGCCTGTTTGGAAAGAGAATCCAAAAAGAGAAAAAGGGGTAGAAATGGAAAGAGGATGGAATGAGCTGTCAGGGAAGACATAATCTTGCAAAGATTTTGAGGGATTGTTGCTTAGAATCTCTATAATAAAGAAGCCCAATGAAAAGGAAATGGGGTGAACCACAACTTTTTCTTCGAAATGGAGGAAGTCATAATATTTGCTTCAAATGATGAGCAACAGTCCTGAAATAAAACTCAAAAGACTGATTTAGAAAGTGATGCAATTTCTGAAAAGGGGATTTTGCAGGTAAAAAAGGATAAATAAAAATGAACTTGCTTATTATTCAATTTCAAGGAATTTACAAAAAAAACATGGTTTCCTCACTGTCCTTTTTATTTGTACAATAATAATGTAAAGATAGGTTAGTTGAAAATTAGTGACAGAAACATCTACAACAGGGCAAAAAAAACAAAATGGCAGCTGCAACTGCATGGCCAAAGCTCTGCCCCCTTTTAGCGTGTTGCCATCTTGAATTTTTTTTTTAACAAACCCTCCCCATCTTCGCCCCTGATTCACCCTCTTTTGTAAGCCATGAAATCTGGAAAAAAATTCATTCATCAAGGCAACAGAGCCTTTATCCAGTGCTGTAGTTGACCCACATTGTACTTTAATGTGTAGAAAACTAAAAGGCACTGCTAGACTTGAAGCATTTTCTCCCAAACTAAATAGTATAAAAAGCATTCCATAAAAGAAGACACTTGTACAATTTCCATATGTCATTTGATATCCATATTTTTTGAAAAGGAAACGTTTAGTTTTTAACATGGGGCCTGGCCCAAATTGATTCATTTTGAGAACATCATGGCTTAATTAGCTTTGATCTCCAAATTTATAACTTTCCTTCATGCCCTTGAATGTATGCTAAATTGTTTTGTTTGTGTGTGTGTGTAACTGCTTTAACCCACAGCCCCAAAATCACTGTATTGTATCTACTTAATAATTAAAAATAATAATTTAAGAATCATTGTTCCATGATTTAACTGTTCAAGGATTTGTCCTGTAACTAATTTTCCATACAATAATTGAAACAAGCTGATTTTATTTGTTTGCTGTTTCTTGTGTTTTAACTACAGGTCAGAGATCTTTCAATTGCCTACTTTTTAGTCGGTTTAACGTATCTCTATGTTGGGGTGCTAATCTTTGGCTCTTTTCCATCTCCACCATTGAGCAAGGAGTGTATAGAACAGGTACAGAAACCTTTAATATGGGGATTTTTTTTTAACTTCCTAAGTATTATAGGTAAGGATTGCTCTCTTTTCTTCCATCTTCATCTGCATTTAATGTAATGTTATTATCAGGTCTCACTTTCATTTGATCATCAGGCCAGAATTATGAACAATGTCATACTTAAATAATACCAGATTTTTGTACGGTAATTAAAGCTATATTGGTACCATTAAATATTAGCCACCAGTTGCATCAATCATTTCAGTGTAGATATTAATATTTGATTACTTTTTCAGATTAAGAAATTTGGTTCAGATAAATGTGTCTTGGTTTAATTAGCTGGCTTAGTGAGTTTTTAATCTGTACATTCATCTCCTTTGAGCTAAAGAAGCTAAAACTAAATGAAGACGTTTCTAATTAAGCATAGTTTCCTTTTTTGTCTGAACTGGAAAAATATGTTTATCAGCTCTGCAACAGCTACAATCCTTAGGCTATTATATGAAGTTCCAAGCTGATAGTTTCCTGATTCAAATGAAATGTGAAATAAGGGCTAATTAGGGATTTCCTGGATGATTCTCACCTTGAACAAACAGTTCATATGCCAACCAAATATTTATTTGTCATATTGTTTACACAGCTGAGATGACATTCAGATTGGCTCAGTGTCTAATTAAAGTATGGTACAATTTTCCAAATGTAAACAGTGGTTATATGGAAGTACGCTGGTATACACTGGATTGGTGCATAAATAAAAATTATCTGTACAGCTGGAAAAGAAAACAGATCATTAAGCAAAAATTGTTTTTCTATTAATGTTACAATCCCTTCTCCAATGTAGCTGAGCATCTCAAAATATTTTTTTATACATCTGAAGAAATGCATTTGTCTAGGAAACTATGTCAAAATAAATTTGTTTAAGGAAAAACAGAACACATAAATATAGAACTGCATCTGTGTGCATGTGTTTGTATTGAGAATATAAAATACTTAAGAATTTGTCCCACTTAAGATACAAAACTTAATTTGCAATAAAACTGCAGTTTTAAAAATTCTGGAACCAAGCCATTTGTGCTTCAGGAACAAAATTCTGTAACTTCATATGCATAATTGTTTCCATGATTAAAAAAACAAATATGTAGATGAAGCAGTTGTAGAATTCTCCAAATCGTATGGATTCCGATTATGATCATGACAATGTTGATGTGTTATATATTCTTTATATAGAAACATCTTTATGTTTATTGCTTTAAAATACTTGATATACATAGATGATAGAGGCAGAAGGAAATGATAGCCCCTTTTCACTTACATCATGAACTTTTCTTTTGGTTAGAATTTTTTAGATAATTTCCCCAGTAATGACATCATGTCATTTCTTGCAAGAATATTCCTGCTGTTCCAGATGGTGACTGTGTACCCACTGCTTGGCTATTTGGCACGAGTTCAGTTTTTAGGACATGTCTTTGGAAATGTTTATCCAAGGTAAATCACTCTTTTTTGACATACCTTAATTCTATTCCTTGCTTTCACATCCATGTAGTAGGAATATTCTGTCACTACTCATTTGCCAGTGTTAGAGCAAACTTTTTATTGTGGTTAGTGATGGCTTTTCATTCATGCCTCATGTCAATGTCAAAGTGGGGGAGTATTTTCAGTTTGTTTGTTTGTTTGTTTGCTTTGGCTTAAAATGATATGTAAACAGGGCCATTGATATTCCATATGTAATTTTAGAGCAATTAACCAAAATTTGGCATCTTGATTTTGGGTGATACATTGATTGCAACTGTAGCTTGGTGTAATGTGCAAGTGGGATTCATGATTTCTTTATGGTTTCTTGTTTTTGTGTGTGTGTGTGTTCTATCCAAGACTCTTGCTTGTCTATAAAGTACATACTCTAGTAAGAACAGCTAAAAAATAAGACAAAACCAACAAAAATTGGCCAAATTAACGGTGAGTCCTTTTTCTTTTAATTTGAAGGAGAATTCTTGCTTGCTAATTCAGGATTCATCCTTGTCATAAGTCTCCTAGGTGAATTTTTATGTTCCTTTCTTCAGAGAGCTTTCTGACTGATAAGGAAGGTTACATGAACAGTTGAAGAACCCTGACTCTAGTAAGGTCCACATTTTATATATTTTTTATTACTTATTATATTTTTTAGAATGCCAGACACCCAACAACTCTGGTCTTTTCACACTTAAAAACACAGAAAACAATAAAATAATAATAAAAACAAAGAACAAAAGATGGTGCAAACCAGACAAACTCAGAGCAAAGTACATTACCCAGAAGGGAGCCTCACTTACCCTCACCAAAGGTCTTCAATGCTCTGGTGGGGCCATCCAGATCTCGAGGGCAGGTCCTATGGCAGAGAAGGTGAGTTTTAAGGATCCCAATAGGTGGCATTGTTTAATACAAGGAACCCAAGCAGTATAGCCTGTAGGGCGTTGTAGGTAACAACCAGGATCAAACCCAGAAGCAAACTGTCAACCAGTGCAGCTTATGAAGCAGAAGTACTGCATAAGCAAAGTGAAGCATGCCCATCACTCACATTACTGGACCAAATGGTTCTGGATGGAAATGGTTCATTTGGTTCTGGATGGCCTTAAAGGGCAGCTCCAGGTTGAAAGCATTGCAGTAGACAAGCTGCGAGGTGACCAAGGTATGAGGGATTGTCTGAACATTTTATTTTAAGATTCCAAATATACAGATATGGTTATTTGCTATTTTTACGTTGGCTGCCACTGGAAGCTAAAAAAGGGACTTTAGACCCAGATTTTATCTCTCAGAGTTGAGATAAAAATGCAGACTTGCTCCCACTATTTGGTAATAACTTTAATACCTCTAATAGTTCAATCCAAAAAGTTGACAATGGAAATAATTTATTTGCTGGTTGGTAACAATTTCCTGGAAACTTAGTGTGTTTAGAAACACATTAATCCCAGGTTATTATGCTAAGTGGAGATCTGTCAGTTTTCCAGAAGTTTCAGCTACATCTAACACCAGCTGTAAGAATCTACTTCCTGATCTGGAGGCTAAAGAAGTATATTTATAGTCATGTTCTGGCACCCATGCTGGCTTTGTGTGCTCTTCAGCACCATCTCAATTTTAGAGATGCTATGTTTTTTTTCAAAGAGCTGATTGGGTATTGTGATAAAGCACCAAGTTAGAAACTAAGAGACCACTGTTTCAGTTCTGCCTGTGCTACAGATCCAACTAGGTAACTTTGGGCTAGTCACACTCTCTGAACTATAGGTAGAAGGCCACGGCAATCTGCTTCTGAAGTCTTGTGAAGAACACTGCACAGACTTCTCAACAGTGGCTCAAAGAAAGAAAAGGGGTTTCTGAAGTGTTTCATTAAATTCAGGGTAGCCATATACACACACTCCATAAAAATAGTGGCAATAATGTTTTATAAATTTATGTAGCACCCCAAATCTTTTTCTTGAGGTAATTGTACTGCTTTGTCTTGTGGTAGGACTGGCTTTGTTCAGGTTGCCTTAAGGTTCATTTATAGCCCATAAATTACAAGCATCAAATAATAAATGTGTAAACCACTGTGATGATGGCTTTGCTTTGGCAGGAGATTTACCATTTTGAATTAAAGATGTCAGGAATAAAATAGTATAATCTTGCAAGTCTGAAAACACTTTCCTCCTCTCTTGCCTTTAATTTCCGGAGAATTAGGGACGGTCCCACCTGAGATGCTTTCTCCACCCTCATCGAGTATCTTTTATCAGACTGCTATCTAGGCTGCTTCTCTTCCTTCTTTCTCCCAAAGTTATTCTCATAGCCTATTATGGAATCAGGCATGCAGCAACACTGCTTTGCTTGGTGATCAGCACTTTTTCAAACAACATGCCCCACCCTGTGGACCACAGGTGGTGATTGAAATCTAATATATCAGGGTGGGAAAGGCTTTTTAAAATAATTGTAAAAGTTGGTAGTGATTTCTCTAGAACAGAAAGTCTATTTTTTGCCCTGATTTTCAGGATCCATTTTAAAATGTACTAAAAAAACAATATGCAGATTGTTTGTTTTTTTTAAAAAAAACTTGTTTAAAATATATTTTGTGCAATAGTGAACATAATTTCAGAGGAAGTCTCTGTGCTACTCTAAAGAACAAGGGCACTGACCTCTCCTATTAAATATTAGCATCGTTTCTCTTTAATGTATTAATTTGGAGGGAGGCAGTGAATTGCTTGAGCAAATCACCATTGGGACTGCTAAATATTATTTAGAAGCCAGAGAATATAGTCGTTGGTTAACAACCACTCATTCAGCAACCAGTCAAATTATGACAGTGATGAACAAGTGGCACTTACAACCAGTCCTCAAAGTTCTTGCCATCCCAGCATCCTGATTGCACTTGGCAACTGGCTTCTACTTCCATGGTTGCAGTGCCCTGTAGTCATGTGATTGCCATTATCAATCTTCCCTTGCAACATTGACAAGCAAAATCAATTGGGAAGCCAACAGAGGAAATGGTAAATTACTTGGGTAAGTTTTCACTCCCGGGCACAGCCATCCCAAGCCTCATTATCCTTGTGCTGTGCTGCAATGTACCTTTGAGCACCCTCGCCTGCCCCATAGCAACCACTTATCTGCCTAACAGCCTGCTTGCAAGACACCTATGTCTTGTAATTTCCTGCTGGCATCCCCTCTAACTGGTTGTTGGAAGCCATCAGGTAGCCTCGCTTAACAATGACAATGGGAACTGCAGAGATTGCTGTCACTAAGCAATGTTTGTGATGTCATGCTTTATGACCACATTATTTAACAATGATACTTCTGGTTCCAGTTACCATCATTAATCAAGGACGATCTGTATGCATTGGGCTTAGAGTCAGATTAGCATAGGAGATTTTTATTTGTATCCAAGGAGAGCCCATGTACTTCTCCGTAGTCTAGTCTAGTCTAGACCAGGGGTCCCCAACTCCCGGTCTGTGAACCAGTACCGGGCCACGGCATGCAGCAACTGGTCCACACAAACAAGCAGAGCCCCATCCGCGGGATGCAGGCAGCACACAAAACCATGCACTCTCCAGGCCGCGGAAAAACCTCTCTCCACGGAACCGGTCCCTAGTGCCCAAAAGGTTGGGGACCTCTGGTCTAGATTGAGAGTTAGACTTGAATGAAGAAAATGTAGCTTAGTCAATAAATCATGTTTAAACAACCATTAATGGAGAACAGGGCAGGGTTAGGGAATTCAGTTTCTTATAGATTACAACTGTTTAATAAATTATTAAATTCTTAAAAAAAGAGTAGAGAGAACATCATGGAAGGAAAGACTGTTCAGGTGTTTTATTTTTATAGCATGATTCATACATCATACTAAACTATAATTACATTATAGCGAATAAACACATTTATGTTTGTACAAATTACTAAGCAAAAGCCAAACCACATTTATGCTACAGTATATTTGTTGTAATATCAAGAAGTGACTAATATAGCAAAATATCATTTTTCATATTTATTGGACATCTTAGTGGATGTTTTTTATACTGGTCATGTAATATATTTGACCAACTCTTTTATATGGGCTTGCCCTGTGCATGTCCTATTTTGGTTCCATATTCATATTACTATTAACAAAAATGCAGTGATTAATGGGATGTTAAAAAACCTGGAATATTCTGTTTTATGATGAACTCTGGACTCACCAAACTGATAAGATAATTTTGCACTGATGCAAAGAAATCACCACCCCAGGTTTAAAAAATCCTGAATTGAAGAAATAAGGTGACTGTGAGGTTTTAAATTGAATTTATTGATGGAATGGATGGAATCACTGTTATCATTCCATATGGTCAAGCTTAATTTGTTTAAAGGCCAAGTACCCTTATATATTTTATTGTAATATTTATGTGGGGTGTGTGTGTGTGTGTGTGCTACTTTTAGCAGGGGTGAGTGATGATGGTGCCTTTTTCATTTTCATTTTTAATATAGGTTGTTTTCTATGTTTAGTTTTTCTTTTTCTTTATTATTTTTGTATAATAGCAACATGGATAAATATATTTTAAAATAATAAGTCGTAATGTCCAAGTTGTTTTTTGTGTCTGGTTTCTTTCTTTGTTTAAAATAGCAAGACATCCCATTTCTAAGTGTAAGAAGTTTCTGAATCAGTATTTAAATGGGCTGCTATATTTGTATTAACAGATAGGCCTTGTTCAGAATGTGAAAAATCCTACAAGTTTAATTTTCTATTTAGAAAATTTAAGAAGGTGGGTTAGGATACAAAACCCTTTCTGTTTACACTATCTCTAAAGAATTAGTTTGATGAAAATTGTTCCTAGGTATGAGTCCTGCAAACCTAAATATTTATTTACTCTATCAAAATGCTTTAAAATGTGCCTGTGTGTACATTTATAATGTCATGATTTCTACTCCTCTAAAGATTCTTCTTCTTATATTCATTAGTTTGGTTGAGCATCTCAGATCATTCCTGGATCCAAAATATTGTTTTTCATGTGGGGAGTGTCTTTTAGAGTATTTTATTATACTTAACAGAGTATATATGGATTGTATTTTAGACTATTCACGAAATAGTCTAATTCATGTGTGTGAAAAAGAGTGTGTGTGAGAGAGAGAGATTACATTTTTATGAACTGTGGCATGACCAATAGAAAAGAAAGGTCCCTTCTAGCTCTATTCTAAAACTGAATTTCAAATAACTATATTCTATTCAAAATACCACTTTAAGATTTGGCTGTTGGAAGAATCACTATATGTCAAGCTCATTTCATCTAAAAGTAATTGGCTTTACTGGATGAGTCACAGCAATGGAAAGATTTTCATTAGCTTATTGAAACTAATAAAGGGAATTCCTCTTACATAGAGTTACATAGCTTGGTTTTTCTCTTTTCTTACAGTTTCTTCCATGTGCTGGTTTCGAACATTATCATTGTAGGAACTGGAGTTGCGGTGGCCAGATTCTATCCAAATATAGGGGGAATCATAAGGTACTCTTGAAATATGAATTGATTGTTATGCTGAAATTGATGCAGGATTATGCTAACCATCATATAAAATTTAAACAAAATAGTTGGTGTTTCTCATATCTGGTATATGCATGCAGTAAACTAAAGTGGTAAAATTGTGAAATAAGCATCAGAATTTCACTTTTTTACACATTTTCCCTACATGGAACAATTCAGTAGAGTGTACATTCTGGCCTTCTCGTAGTCACTAGTATTTGTTTTTTTGCAGCAAAAAATATCCAGATTCAATTTATTTCACATTCAACTGTCACCAGGATTTTCTTTGAAAAATCTGAGTTACCCAAATGAATCCACAGATGGGACAATTGATATATCCTCTCCAAACAACATTTTATAATTCTTATTTAATACTGATGTATATATAGATCAGGCTAGACATCTGGATAGCTCCAGGCTATGGGCGGAGAATCAGAAGTCATAGCTAGTGACTCCCATAATCAAACAAGCAAAAGGGAAAAATAAACTTCACTAAAAACAAAGGGGAAGGAAAGAAAATCCTGGTGACACCTATAAACGTCACATACTCTGACTCATTGACAGTTATGACAGACTTGCGAGTGCTTAAAAAATATATATCAAATGTTGCCCAATTCTGTTCTATAAGGTATCTCAAGAGTGAGCAGGCAATTTATTTCAAACCTCTCTGAAAGAGTTTCCACTATTCCAAGACAGGAATCCTAAATTAGCAGCTGTATCCTAGCTGGAATACTCCTAGCACTCCAGAATCCTAAATTAGAAGCTGTGTCAGTAGCCATGTTTCTAGGGAAGCTGAAAATTGTAATTCAGCAAGATCTGGAGTGCCACAGCTTACCTGTCCCTATCTGACCTCATTTAATTCTTGTCACTCACAAAATATTTGTATTTAGTAGAGTACATAAAGATAAAGTTTTTTATTATTCCTACTTTTTTTCTGGAAGCAAAAAATCCTCAAACCTGCAAATAAAATAAATGAAGCCCCAGCTCCCAATCAAGTAGCTATGAATATTAAAAATGACTGTATGATCCTTCCTTCAAATTAGCTTTTTTTTCTTTTCCTTTGTAATAATAACAAACACTATTACTAAAATTCCACATTTTAAAACTGCCTTTTAGATCTGTGCCACGTGAATGTTTAACATTTTTGTCCTAACAAAGGTCTTATTGATTTTTTTAAAAACAGAGCTTAGAAACCTTTATCATAAATACCTTCCTCATTCCCTTTTATTCTCTAAGTTCCTCATTCTTTTCCCTTTCAATTTTATTTATTTGTTTTTATCCCACCTTCATTATTGTTATAAATGACTTAAAATGGCAAACGTACCCAGTACTCCTTCCTCATCATATTTTTCTCCCAATTTCAATTTCACCTGAACTTTCTCCACATGAAAAATCTTGGATCCTGTTTCTTTTTAAGTATCTTTTAGACATCCAACCACATACTCCCACCCATTTGTTCTATTGTGAGCAATAGAAACAAAGAACAAATGAATTTAAATAAGCAAGCCTTGGCTAAGCAGTTTTGTGCAGTCATCCGAATGCACAAAGGAATGTTTGTGATTGGTTCCTTTTCTCTCTTCAAAAGGAGTACTCTGCCATGAACCCATCTGGTGTTCTTTATAAAAATATGAAGGACCATTTAAAAAAAAAATAGGAAGAGATTTTCTCTAGCGCTTCATATCAGATGCAAGCTGCAGTCTCACAGCCTCTGATATCCAACTTTTGTGATTGCTCCCCTTACCCGCTCAAGAAGTATTACCATAAAAGAATGATTGTGAAGTTGTTTGAACACTACATAAATGCTGTTGATTAATGCAGCACACCATGGTGTTGGAGAAAACTACTGCAGTGGGAGTCCTAGTGAGCAGCATTTACTTGTTATTGAATTAAAGGATAAAAGAATCATTTTCTCCAATTAAATGTGATAATTGTTGCATCAGATGTCCTCTGTGTGCCTAAAACTTGCAAATATCCAGCAGCCTTGTAGAATTTGTTCCCTTCCCTTGGCCATGTCATAACAGCTTTTTGTAAAACACAAGAACAGTGCTCCCATTTTGTCTTATAGTAGCACAATTTTTGTGACCCTGAATATAATCTTTACTAGTACATGTAGAAACTCTACTGACTCAAGCAAAATTTGTATAGCTCTATTATCAATTTATGTTTAATAACTTTTATTAAATAATCAAATGTAGGAATGTGAGGGATGGGAAAAGGAATCTGGCCAAAAGGAACAGAAGTAAACATAAAGTGTTTAAAGTAATATCATTTGTAGTCTTTTCTTGTGGGGTGACTGTGGTTTCCATCATGCAGTAAAATTTTTAAGATAATAAAGCACATTGAAATAATTGCTCTGATCTGGCCATGTACTAAGGCTTAGTCTGCTTAACACTGGGAAAGATTTGTCTCAATGGCTTGTGTGTATTTTTTTAAAATAGTAAATATAAATCAATTAACAATCCAACCAACTAACCTCATTATGGCTGTCTTCAATGCTTATTCATAGTTAGTTTAACTATGGACACTGAGTTAACCCAATTTTCTGGGCTTGCTCAGCATACTAAACCACACTACCTGGGACTGCAGTTTCTGGGTAAAATGTTGTTGGCTAGATTGTTTGTTATACATGGGACCTGTCACTGAATAGACATGTAGAAATTGTAGTTCGAAAAAATAAATATATAACCATTTGTTGTTTTCTTCCAGATATTCTGGAGCAACCTGTGGTCTCGCCTTTGTATTTGTATACCCATCCATCATCTATATTATCTCCTTGCATCGGGAGAATCAGTTGACATGGTTTGCACTACTCAGCCATTTTTTGATAATTCTTCTAGGAATGGCAAATCTGATGGCACAATTTTTAATTTGAAAATCAATCTTAAATCAGAGTTCTTTCTTTGCAAGAGGTGCAGGAGTACCAAAAAGTTACCTTGAACAGTATTATAAAAATTGTATCCTGCAGTATTATAGAAGTTATACAGCAGTAGATCTGTAGACTGCCATCTTTCAATCTTAGCTTGTTCCAGAGAAAACAGCCTTTTAAAAAACCAACAAGCAAACTTTTAAAAAATGGAGGCTGCATCTTGGAACACGAAGCACCAAAGCAAATGAAAGGAACTGAGTGAATTTATGCTCAACTTCAAGTAGAAATGGAAATTATTTGGGAATTATTAAGTTCTTTTTATAAATTAAAATTTCTTTTTTCTATGTGGAAAAAAATTGCCTTATTTGGCAAATAAACAAGGGATTTTATTGATCTAGAAAACTATATATTTCTACTAAGAAAAGTGTTTTGAATTCTTTTACTGTTAAAATGCAGTGCATGTTAAATCATGAAATACTGTTAACATTAAACTATATCTTTTGTGATATCCCTTATTGTCTACAATATCTGGACTGAAAGGCAAGTCTTTCTTATTTGTCTTGGCACAAAGAGAAATAATTTTTTGTTCACTTTCTTTGGACTTGGCATGGAAGGTCTAGAATTAATATGAAATATATCTATTTTGCAGAACAGTTTAAAATGTCCCATTTTAAATCTCAAAAGTAATGAATAATTGTACAGTGAGCTCAAAATGTTGACTTGCATTACTGTACTAACACTTTCCTCAAAGTGCAAAGTATGGTTATGAAACCTTTTATATATTTTCTGGTTTGATTCAAATTACTGTTTTGACTCATATCTGGGCTGAACAAACCTATGCTTACCTTATGCTGACTCTGGACGTGTGTTACCTCTCTCTCAGCATCATGGCTATTAAATCCCATACTTTGAGAATGGGTAGCTTTTTACGTTCAAAAGAGCCCCGTCTGCACTGAATCAATACCTTGTGTACATCCACACACTCAGTGCATCCCCTGCCTTCCAGACTTCTGAGGGTTGCAACTTCTCCAAAGCTATGAACTTCGGGAAAAGCCTTGTTGTTTTCCCCTTCAACTTGACTATTCTGCTTCATATTACTTGTACTTTCTGGCTAATGGCAGAGAAAAGCCAATATAGTAATCCTAAACAGATTTGCTTAAAATTGGAGAAGTCCCATTCTCCCCCTAGTGAACTTGCTAAAGATCCCTGCTTTTCTACCTCCTTAGCAATTGGACTGTCTCTTAGGAATGGTGTATCAATTGTGTGTCTCCAGCACTTATTTAACAAGAGGTCAACCATGAAGGAAATAAGACTGGACAGCCATTTGTCTGAAATGGTATAGGGTTTCCTGCCTGAGCAGCGGGTTGAACTAGATGACCTCCAAGGTCCCTTCCAACTTTGATGATGATGATGATGATGAGGAGGAGGAGGAGGAGGAGGAGGAAGAGGAGGAGGAGGAGGAGGAGGAGGAGGAGGATGACTCCACCTACTACAGGTTGACCTGCACCACATGTGATCAGGGAGAGAAGTGATAAATATGGAAACATATGAAAATAGTGGGACTGCTTTGGATGTACACTTGGAAATACCATTGCAATTCATTGACTGGGAGATTGTGCTTACATTATTGTAAGCAGGCTTTTCATGTGCATCAGCAGGATGTAGCCAGCACAATACTCAGGACTTTCATCATGCTCACTGTATAGATCCTTTCTTTTTATTTCCTCCAGGCACACCTTCTCTGTGCTTATTTTTTGGCATGAATACTACCACATCTGTGGTACAAAATATATCTCTAAGGACTTCTTCAGAGCTATTCTTGCAGAGTAGCCATCTGAGAAGGCAGACCATGCTCAGATGTCATGCATGTAGCCCAATGCTTGAGAGGGCACTTAGCCTCAATTCACCACCACTCATCCTGGATCTGCCACCAAGACCTGGATCTGCTTCATTGTAGGACCTATCCTGTGCATGTCGGGGAAGAATCAAAGGAGAAAAAGCACTTTTCTCCCATGTAGTCCTTTAAAAAAAAAGCATCTGCTGGAAGAACCCTTGTCCATTTCCATACATTGTGCCCTGGTGTTATGTTTTGAGGATCAGCCTATCAGTCCTCTAGAATGATGAGATATTTTATAAGAGTTGAACTTTAGAAGGTGTGTCCTCAAATTAAATACTTGTTGCACGTGATGGCATTTCATTATATGTTCTTGATTTCTCACTTTGGAAATCTGCCTTCAGAAATCTTTCAAGCCTAGGCCTTCATTGCGTAGCTTTATTCTTCCACCACCAAGAAATCCTTCAAGTGGAACAGAAAGTGAATTAGCATGATTGATGCATTTCCAGTGTAATTCCTCATTTCATCTAACATTTCTATATAGTGCCAGTGCATGGAGACAAACAGTCTAATGCCCCTGGCATATGCTTCCTGGGGTTGGCTTTAGTGTCTCATTACAAAATATGTTTTGAAGTGAAAAGCATGTGGAAATCTGTGAAGAAAGAGCAGTGGAGTTATTTTACTGTTTCTGTTTTCATTTTAAATGCATGTAAGAAACAATTATGTGTATTCCTCTCTGGGTGACAACGTGAAGGACTCTGACTGATAGCTTGTAACAAGTACTCTGTAATTGCTGGGAATGGATTTATATATACTTATCTTTTGAGAACTTTTGTTAAACTGCAGAAAGCAGAAATAAGGCCCTAATTATGTGACTTTAGGTCTCAGAATAATTAGGACACATCCTGATAGAAATGCTGAGATTCACAAATTGTGGAACAAGTTCCTCAGTCTCCCAATTTCAGTTAGTAACTATGCTGCAATCAGTTCAATAGGATAACCAGTGTTGTCCTCAAATCTTGCTTTTTTAAGTTTCAAAGGCCTAATGTATTAAAATACAATTAGATCTTAAGTAACTAGAAAGCCATTTTTTGGGATTAACTACGGGTAAGGAGAAACTTCTACCTTTTTTTAAAAAAAAACTTGGTGCCTTCCAGTTGTAAAACTCGTGTTCTCAGCAGATTCAGCTACTAGGAAGGCTGAGTGAAAAATAACTGAGGCTATATTTCTAGGCTTCTGGGGGGAAATACGTTATATGCAATTCTGATTCTATTTTGGCTTATGACTTACGAAGAAGCTAAATATTCTCCATCCTAAATCGATGGTGATTGATAACCAGATTAGTTAATGATGCTTTAAATAGATGCTTCAATTCCCTGTTCTTTAGGACTACCAAATTTCTTTTTTCTGCTATCTGTCCTGTTGGAAAAGCAGCTTGCATTTAAGCAGAAACACACTGGTTACGTTACATATGTGTGTTTGTACATGCCTGTATACATACACACATGAATATACACACAGATGCGCATACTATCTTGATACACTTCTTATAGTACTGTTTTATGCCATCCACGTTAAGTGACTTCTGTGCAAGCATTTAGCAGGTTTAAAGGCTAGACAACAAAATGAGTAATTGATGAATTATGCTAAATGAACATATGATCCTGTCTTATCCTATCCTACTCTCTTCCTTTATGCCCCAACACCTAGAGGTCAATGGAAGATGTGAATTAAGAATACTAGAAATACTCAAAAAACTTTCTTTTTACAGGAAAGACTCAATAGCTTCTGATGCATCTTGGAAACAGCTGATACTCTTACTACAAGAGTACATATTTTGTGTTGTGTACTGTACTATTTTTTCCAACCAACATACTTTTGAAAAGAAATTATATAAATTGATTTAGGACTTTACTGATTAGACCTCTCTAACAACCAACAAGAGGGGAAACAATCCCAAATTCCTAAAAGTTAGAGTGACAAGAATTCCAGTAAATACAATGAAAACAATTTCCCTGTTGTAGTCCTGTGGGAGAGGTAATTAAACATGGCTCCAAATGTTGCTAATTCCTCTGTTCAATTCTGCTCTCTTCATAGTCATGTGACTGGGAGCAGACCTGATATTAAGGGGCTGAAAGTAATGCACTTCATGCTTTTCCTGCTTGAATGCCCTATGGCTGCCTTCATATCTGGAAACAAGCAGGAAAAGTGGGACATTAGCAAGCTGTCTGAAAAACTGGATATACTGAAAAGGAGATAAACCAGAGGCCCTCCTATTTAATATCTGGATTGACACATTGCATTATGCTCTGGTTTGTTGTTAGCACAGTTCACCAGGCTGTATTGTCTGGTTCTTTCATTATGCTAAGCTATTAATTGTGCTTTACCAACCACTACGCCTTAGTTCATACAAGCAAGCAAACAACATTATGTCTTAGCATGTGGGAACCCAACATACAATCCTACTTGTTCTGTAGTGTAGGATTCCTATAATGTACTAAACCATTATGTATGTTTTTTTTATTTACACAGTGTGACTCTAGCCACTGTGGACAGTAAATTATGGTTTAGCATGTACTGTAATATGCCAGCTAACAAGTATATTTTACTACTTCAAATGAATGAACTATTCTGATTTAATTCACAAATCTACTTTCTTTGATGAAGCAATACAGTTCAGATACCAGCTAATTGTGTAGTAATATGTCATTTTGTCTGTTTTGCTGTTTTGTTTTAAATTATTGTCCTGCCTTAAAATAGAGTATTATATAAAGTTAATAGCCATTTTTGCTCTACAAAAATGATAATCAAATTGTTCACATAGTATATGGAAATATTTGTATATGCTAATACTTTTTAACTAAAATTACTTTAGATTTATAAAAACAAACAATAAGAATAGACTCCAGATAGGTACAATATTTTCAGTGTAAATCATACTGGATACATTTAGGATATATTTAGGAAAATGATAGTGACTGGAAAGTTTTTTTGGCATACATCTGCTGTTTGCATTTTCAAAAACAGATGATATAAATGGAATAGAAAATGCCACAATTGTGTATTGATTTATATATGTAGGTTATTTCTTAGAAATTTTCATTGCACACAGTGGGCTGTTGCACAGTTCATCCTAGGAGAACTTGGAATGGGTTGTTGATAAGATTTAAGTAACATTGCTAGTTATTTATTTTAACATTTTCTTTAGTTTCTGCTTTTTCCTTCATCAGGTTGGGAAGGGGATTTCTGCCAGCAAGAAGAGATTTGAACGTTATAATCCTCTCCAACTGGCACATCTTTGAATGTCTTGCACTGACAGTACAGGAAGTGAGAAATACCACTATCTAACCAGAAATACCAGTATCTAACATTGTCCTTATTTAGAAGAACACTTATACTTGGGTTCCATAGCCATTGTTATCCTATTGAGAAGATGGATATCTACAATCCTACAGTGCTTTATTATTATATAATACCATACCATCAGCATACCATGCCCTATATAATACTATATGTCATAAGCCTTTGAATTAGCGTTTGACTCCTGGCAATTGCCTGGGCTAGTCTTTGCAATTTTCTTGGCAAGATTTCAGAAGCTGGCTTTGCGAGCTGTGGTGGTGCAGTGGTTAGAATGCAGTACTGAAGGCTGACTCTGTTCACTGACAGGCTCAA